CAGGTCAGTAAGATCAATGTAGCTTTATTATATAGATATTAAAATTCAAATAAACCATTAAGGTATTCAAATACTACTTTAGTTATAAACTATTCTAAACATTAAAATTTTTCTAAATTTTCTGTAATAATTCTTACAAAAGGTTTAAACTTCCATATTTTTATTTTGTTTTACTAAGTGATCCTCATTAATTTCATTCACTGTAATAACAATTTTCATAACAATGTGTCTAGAAAACTGCCAAAGTTTAACATTTCAACAAAATTATACTAAATTAGTTAGTGATTATTAAATTGTTTAATTAGTAGAATAATTTAGTGTTATAGTTAGCTAGCTATATTATTATTTTTTAAAAAACTTAATAATTAGATAACAAAGTTTACTTAAATAAGATATTTTATTTATTTCTATATATATTTTTGAAGGAATCAATGTTTTAATATATCAGAATTATTTATATTTAATACATCATGCATTATTTATTTATAAATAAACAATATAATTTTTATTCATAAGTATAATACATTCAATACATTCTTAAAACACATTTATTAAAATGTAATTAATAAACTATGTTAATTTCAAAAAGAGATAAAACTGATTTACCTCTGTGAGCATTTCAATACTGGCTGAGTCCATGTATGTAATTGAACAGCAGTCAATAATTATACATTCAACTTTGCTTTGTAAAAGTGATGAATCTGTTTCATTATCCCTATAATTTTGAATTAATACAGAAATGCATATGTTAAAATGTAACAAATAATAAATTAAAACATATAATGTATATGGTAGGCTCAAAAACAGAAAATGTTCATTGAGTGAAAAAAATCAATCACAATGCATTCTGACTTCTCAAATCCAGCCATAATGCAAATTTCATGTCATAGCAGTTTCAAAAATGCTCACAATATGTTTTTGCATATTCAATAAGAGCATAAAGTCAACTTTGTGTTGTGATTCTTTTTAATCAACCAAAACATGATCTTAAATATAAAAATACCACAATTTGTTGTGGATGCAGCCATGACACAATTAGATAAAAATATATGTGCAAAAATAAGTAACAAATTTTTGCACAGATATTTTTTATTACATTATAAAGAAATTTAGTTTTAGTAATAAAAAAACTTCACTAACTCTGTTTGGCTTCTATGTTGTCATATAGAAACAAGCAAGGTATTATAAACTGCCTGAGCAAAAGATACTGCATTGACAAAAAGTGCAAATGTCTCTCCAAAAACAAAATGCAATTTCAAATGCCACAATAGAAGTTCTTACAAAAATAAATAATTTATGTATAATTTTTCCACCAATGGACCAATTCTGAACAATGTTTATTATTACAAAAATACTCATCAGTGTAAGTTCTTCTCATAAAACATTACATGATTAAAAGAACCATAGTATAATAATCATTTTCTTTTATAATTCACAGTTGAGAAGACAATTTGTTATCAATTATTTTATTTATGAATCTTTGAAACCCACGTATGATAGTTTAAAATCCTAGTTACCTAAAAAAAAGTATTATAGCTTTCTTTTCTCTGAATCCTTACAAGTAAGTTTAGGAATTTAATCACATAAGTATTTTACATTTAAATCAAATAAGAAATTTATTTGTAAGTCACATCCTTGTTTAAAAAAACAATAGCAACCAATAGAAGATTCTATTGATGTTGTATTGGTTTATATTGGAAAGTAAAAACCAATAGAAACCAACAAAAATTTCTATTGGTATTCTAGGTAAATAAAAGATTTAAACCAATAGACACTAATAAAACAATTTTCTGGTATATATGCTATTGGTCAATAAAAGTCAATATAAATTCACAACTAATTTTTATTGGGATGACTATAAAAATTAAAATATTTGCAGATTGGCAAAATAAAAGTAAATTTTTAACTTGACATTAATCTGTATATGCTATAATAAACTTATAATTATGTTTCCTTAATTATGTATGTTTCGATTCTGTAACACGTTTTCAAAAGAAAGTTATAATCAACATGGAAAACAATCTTTAAAATAGATTGAATCGTTAAACTTAATGCACTATATTTCATTTCTGTGTAATGTTTATCTAAAGTTTTAATATTTAACAATTAAACTTTTTTGTTTATTTAGAGATTGGTTTTGACAGAAAAATTCCTGAGATCAGAAAATTAGTATAACCCAGGTATAATTTTAATTATTAAGGTGTAAGAAAATTATGAAATGTTTGCCATTAAAATTAGGTGCTATTAATCTTCCATGTAACAAAATAATCTTTAAAAAATCAATCTATTATTTCAATGAAGTGTTCATTATTAAAAATAATAATAAATTAGACGGATAATTCTAGTTCGTAACTCAGAGTTAATAAAACTAATTTTGTGTGTAATAGATCTATTGGGTCAAAATATCAGTGTAAAATCAATAGAATTTATTGGTTGAATAGATCATATTGATTTTACATGGAAATTTTTTTAATAGGGATCATCGATTGAGAATTTGTTTTTAATAACATCATTCCCACAAAGAGAGCAATTTCAAACAAATTTTTTTGTTAATACTAGTAAAAAATAATGATATAGAATTTGTCTTAGAAGGTTAAGGCTTAGTCATAAGACTAATGAGGCTAACCGTTTATTTTTGGTGTAATTCTCAATGTAGATTAGAATTTGATTTTATTCTAAATAATAAAGAAATTTGCTACTTTGGAACAGATATTTTTACTGTATATTTAAGGCAGCATTGGCACAAAAATGCCAGTGCTGCCAGCTAAAACACACACATCAACAAAAAAAAATATTGGAGTAGCCCAAGATATAGCCAAAGATTGCAGCGCCACAGCACTAGTGAAAATTTAAATTTGCCGACTGGAATTCTTTCGGATAACTGACGTTTCAGATAACTGACATTTGGATAAACGACGCTCTACTGTATCTACATTTATTCATTTTTATATGGTTGTTGGATTCCTTAAAATAATTATGCTAGAAGTATGATATATTATTTTATTTAAAAAATATCATCATCAATTATTACTAAAACTATATTCAACACACTTAAAAATAATAAAATTCTATTTACTTTAAATATTTCAAATTACCTTTTATTTATTAAAATATTTTTTATAAGAGAAGACTTGAAATTTTCTTTATTTATGAAATTTAATGATGTTCCATAATAAAATATCTTTATACCAGGCAATTCATTAACCTATAAAATAAATAACTAATGTAAATTAAAATGTCTAGTAGAAATTTACTTTTTCTAAGAACAGTTTTAAAAAACTTAATTTATAATGTGCACTATAATGATTATGACAAACTGCATACAAAAATTATCAAATAAATGAAAGATGTTCTTTAAATATAAATAATACTAAACATGAAAATAACCACATCAATCTAAGGTGTTATACAAATATAATATATCACCAATTTTAAGTTTATTTTGACTAACTACCTTTACTTGTTATATTTTGTCACCCCAATGCTAAAATCAAGCATTTCTGTAAAACCGATCTACAGTACATTTATTCATTACCCCAATTTATTCACATTTCCTGCCAGGGTAAGGCTAATTTTAAAAATCAGCAAATAGAAAAAGAAAAAAAAATTCATCTGATTTACCACAAAAGTGTCAGATGACATTTTACTACGTAACTCCTTGATTAAAGTTAATATGTTATAAAACAGATCATTCAGCAGTACCTTTATCTGTAACTATAAAGATTAAATTGTTATCATTATCTTTTCATACTAAAAGTTCTACTAGAGAGCTGCTAATAAAGTGTATTTAGTACAATGCTTCCACTAAAGAGTAACTCTTTAAATAAATAAGAACTTTTCTGTATAATCATTGATCAAAATACTTTTCCATAATTATTGAAATAATTTTTTTTACTAAGAAATAAGAAATTTTTTGAGAATCTTTAAGATATCATCATTCTCCTAATACTTGCACCCCTTGTCACAATCTGTCAGAAAATTTTTACATATCCCACTCCCCAGTGCACAGGTCATATCTGAATGACTCCTAACAATAAATTACATCAATTAAGTATGTAGAGTTGTTCAAAAATAATGCACAAGAGGATGCTTACATGCATAGCATGTATGTATGTACCATATAGGACACTATCAGAGAAACATAATTATGGTGCAAATCATCATAACATGTAATCATCAAGACATACTGTACAATTAATTAACATTAATTATTTAATAACTATATAAGTTAGAAAACTACAGTATTTAACCATTTTATTATAGTATGACACAAATTAATATTAGTCTATATGTCATACCATAATAAAATGGTAACTGCATCATGTTTTATCATGGGGTTTATTTTGTTGTTATGTATGAGAGTGGAAGCTCTAGTCCAATTAAACTTTAATTTATTTTAGTTTTGAATAAAGTGAGTAAAGTAATTAAAACTGCTGACAGCATATTGTATGATAATAATAATCAGAAAATGAATTTCACATATAATTAAATGATTATAATTATTGATAATTATAATGTTTAGTTGCAAACTTTATATTTATTACAAATANATCGGATCGATGTCTATGATTTCAAAACTAATGGAACCTATTTTGAATCCAATTTACTATGTCGCAGATTATTCACAATTACTTTAATTTAAAAACATATTATTGATTATTATACTTTACTATTAAAGAAGTAATAAAATAATACCGAAAATGTAAAAAAACACGATCTTACCAAATCAGACGATCGAGAGATAGAACGCTCATCGTAATACATTATCTGCCCTTAATTACGTTACAAAATGGAACTTACGTAACTACATTATTCAAACAAATAATGACATCATTCATTAAAGACATATCGATGCAAAGTGTTGCCACTCATTAAAAATTATCGATACTCCGAACGTCATTCATTAAAGACGTATTGATCGACGTAATGAAGGATGGAATTTCTAAATTCTCGCGAATTATATATATATATATATATATGTATATGTAAAATATACAAACCTGTGAATCGATTAGAGATATTTCTAGATTAGTTTCTTTTCCTCTTTGGTATTTTTTCTTGCATAACTTTTTCCAAAATCGCGACATGTCTTTCGGTTTTTGCGTCTATCCGCTCTGTACTGTTTCGGTTTGTATATTTGTTGTTGATTTTAAAAACTTCCCCATTGGATTGTTCTGTTGCATGATAACGATCAAGGACGTAACAGATCGATTATTTTATTACACCCTAAATTTTCTTTATACGTATTCCATAGCAAACGCCGATTCCATACGTAAATGTAATCCTTGATTTTTTTAATTTAAATTGTAAATTTTGTATTATTTTTAAAGTAAATAAAATTATTTACTTTATGTAGGATACATTATCTGCTTTAAAATTGATTTATCCCATTCTTTAATTTTTATTATCGAATCTAATTAAACATGTCCGCTGTGTGGCGCATTTATTATGGTGATGCGAAAATAACAATAATAAAGTTTCGACGAAAAAAAATGAGAAAAATAAATGTTAAAAAATAAATGAAATTACATCGAATACAACTGCACCGACTTGTGACGCGACTATATCCATATAATTGTGTTTATATAATAATAATATTGTTGAGAAAGTTTGTTATGTAGGTAACCATGACAACCAAACAGCATTCTATTCATAATGATGTTAGGTAGAGCTTGTAAAAAGTGTTCACATTCTACTCTCTTCACTTAATTATTGCATTTACTAGGAACTTAATATAAATTTCTTTTGACGTAAATATGAATGAGATATTTTTAAATAATAAAAGAATAAATAAATATAAATTATTTTAAAATGTGATAGTATTTTACGTTTTACACGAAAGATGGCGCTAATTTACTTATTTTAAAAAGATATTAGGAAAAAGAAATAAAATATTTGATTTAAAAATGCAATGATTTTCTTGTTTAAGTAAGAGAAAAATATTTTAAAATAATTAGTTGTTTCTAGAGTAGAAATAATACTTTTTCGAAAAAATCAATAATCTAACTTCAATCGTTTTAATGGCGCTATTATGTAGACGCCTGACTTTATTGGTGTATATATATATATTTTTTAATAAATGCAATCTTAAATATGTTTTTTAAAAATTTCGCTTAATAAAAGACCAATTTCTCCAGCGAGACGCTAGAACAAAAGAAACTACATCAAATTAACGAATTACAACACTTGCAAACATCTCCATCAATCGTTCTCCGAAACACGCCCACAAACCCCACCCACATTATAATTTCCATGACAACAGATAACTTCACCCACTGAATGATCGTCACGTGCAGAAATGAATAAATAATCGGCCAATCGAAATCAATAACGTCATCGATCTTTAATGTTTTAAAATTAAAAAAAAAATTAAAAACGACATTCGTAAATGAAATTCAATTACATAAGGATATATAATTTTTCTAATTATAAAGTTTTAATATATTTTTTTTTACAGATACAAAACTTTGCTAGTTTTATCAGCCTTGATAATTTTATAATTTCTCTTAAAATTAAAGCAGATGATTGGAAATTAATCACATACTAAATGACGTTTCGATCTCGCTTTATTAGGAAATAACGTGAGAATTGATCACTTGTTTAAAAAAAATAAACCAATCTTTGACGTTCGTTTCGGTACGTATTATTTAATTTCACTAAAATTAATTGATTCTTACCTCTCTATAAACAGAAGATATGGCGACACCCATTTAAACAAAACACGTTCCAGCAGACGACAACGGACGTTTCTCCTCTCACTCTCTCTCTCTCTCGTCACGTGCTCCCTCTCGCTGTGACGTCACGGGAAAGTGTGAAACGATGTCGAGCAATTTAGAAATAGGTGAATGTCCTTTTTTTAACTCTATCGTCCTACTATAAAAACTAGGTTTGTGGGAAATTAATTTTTAGCATTTTCTTAGTATTTATATATAATTATAAACAAACAAATGAATAAATATTAAACGTTAAACGTACAAATTAAACAAACTACGCACTTAAATAAGCCTAAAAAGTTAAGACTAACGGGAACAAATACGAGAAACAATGGTTTAGTGTGTAATTAACAGTAAAATATCATACAGGAAAGTTTTTACATTGATTTACTATGGAAGATGGAGATGAGTTAGGAAAGAAAGTCTCTTTGTTTTTACTTCTGGAATCTGAGGCATCAAAGGTCATTTATCTGCTAGAAATAGTTCTACTGCTCCTCTTTCCTTTAAAATGAGGCATAACATGTCTGAATTTGCCAGCTTATGTTGAAGATAGATTATCAAATTCCAATGTGTGTGTGTGTGTGAGAGAGAGAGAGAGGGGTTAGGAGAAGCATTAAAAATAACTAAACGATTCTTCTTTCTTACCACGAGAAACATTTTCTGTTAATGAACACATTTCTAGTAAAATTTTACATAAATTTTAAAAATTACACACTGACATCTATGACGTAACTTTAATGATTTTTTTGAAAATTGATTTTCGTTTAGAATAATAATACAATTATTCTAAACGATGTTTTTAATGATACAATTCTTTCATTAATATTTTAAACGTCGTCTAAATTATATGTATCAATAGTTAACGAGCTGTTTTTTTCCTGTAAAAGTGTCTTTGTAGCATATCGTATTTACGATGCAGTGAATATTTGTTTATTTAAANAACAATGTTAACTTATAAATAACTTACATAAACTTAGTTTTAAGTTATACTTTTATCCAGCAAATTTTTTTTCTGAAAAGTATATACAGTTGAATCTGTCTATCTTAAATCTCATGGGAATAAGAAAAAAATTCAAGATTTCAAGATATACAGGTTTCTACACAGTGAGCGTTAATAGGTTTGATTAGAGGTACGGTATTTTATTAATACAACAACAAGAACAATACATACCTGTATTAGATATTATTAAAAGATTTTTGACTTAACAGAAATAGTTTGTCAATAGTTTCTGATGCCTGACTTTCTTTGACCACTGAGATGCAAGCCAAACTTGTAGCCAATCAGAGAAAAACAGTATTAATTGCAACTATGTACTATATTGCAAAAAATGTTTCTCAACTACAATTTATGCTTAAATCTAATCACAAATTTAATTATTTTCATCTCAATTTTCCATACCCTAGACATGCTGTATGGAAAATTCAGAGGAAAATAATTAAATCTGTGATTAGATTTAGACACAAAAAATAGGTAATTTAACATATCAGCTACAATTTATGCTATCAAAATGTAGTTGCTGAACTTTTTTTTTGTAATCAACACTTCAGTCCATAATTTGAGATATAGAGGTTTTTGAAAGAAAATTATTTGAGATAAACATGGAAAATATATTTAATTTAGACTGAAAATGTGGGGAGAAATAAATTTCAAGATAAGCAGGTTTGAGATAGACATGTTCAACTGTATTTGTCACGGTGCAATTAAAGTATTAAGTATTAAGCTTATTACTAAGCTGCTGCACAAACTAATTAAACTGATATAATCTGATACATCTGAAATAAAACATTTTTAAGTATAAATAAATACTGTAGAAATATAGCATAACATCAAAAATTACATAAATCAATGTAGTTTACAATTTTTTGAAAATATAGTTAATTAATAAAAATATTTAAGTATATATAAATGTGAGACAAGCAGAGGGCCATGGGGTTAATCCTTCCTGACCACTTACACTGCACAGGCTGGTAAAACCCGGTCTTGGAGTCATCAGATGGCTAGAAGGGCAAAAAGTGAGTGGGGAATGCGTTGGTAAGCTGGCAGGTGTTCTTTCAATGTCAGGAGACAAGTTTAACAAATAAACAAAGCATTTATTGAATAACAAAATCTAAGTTACAGGAGGCGAAAATAAAACTAAGGTTAAATGCGGTTATACTAGACTATTTACATATAATGGGCAACTATTCTCGTCTATTTCGCTTGCCTAACTTTAGGGAGAGAGAGAGCAATTTTACAAGTTCTAAAATATTCCCTAAATACCTCTTGGAGTAATGGAGAGTTGGCGCATCGTCTGTATGAAAGAGGTAGTAATCCTTGGTGTCTTCTGTCAGGTGTATTCTCTGACGGGATCCAATTCCTTTGCATGGAGATCGACTGGTACAAGTACAGAAATAACTTCCGTGTGCAGATGTGCCCTGAGCTTCTAGGGGCTCGAGCTTTTATTCGCTTGTCGTGGGAAAGGAGTCACGTGATCGTCATATGTTGACATTAACGATGCATTCTTGATACCTATGTGTCAACTTTCCCATATAATTGTTATAACAAACGGTGACCTCCGATATAATTCTCACCAGAGTGTTTTTTCTATCAGAGTTGTTTACATTTCTTTTTTTTCTGACATTAAATTTGCAGATTTCACATAAATAATAATAAATATTTAAATATTTCAATGTATTTTAATATCAACATAATACATCTTTGCTTTGGCTGGCTAATAGAATATTCAATTGATNAAAAAAAAATCTTAAACTCAAGTTATTGTTGAAGTAATGGAACGATAATACAACACAATTCCAGTAATAATAATAATAATAATGACGGTATTTTAATTTTTGCAACGTGTTTAAATATATATTCTTTCTGTCAGTTAAGCACAAACAGGTGCAGACTCCGCAGTTCTGACAGTTATAAAAATAAATAGGAAACTAGAAAAGAACTTTAAAGGCGTCTTAGGTAATCAGATCTAAACGTTTATGCCATTCAAACAAACATTTCCAGGTGGTTCATTTCCTTCTGTTGGCTTTTTTAAATTCTGTAATGGCATTAGAACAAAGAACTTTACGGTGATTTTAAATCAAAAAGTATTCAGACAAGTTCTAAAAACCATTCGAAATATTGCTACCTTCGTTATTTCTTAATTATTTAAAATTCTAAATAAATTTATCTCTGCTAATACACGAGGCTAGTTAAATTATACTTTATATTGTATTTTAATCCAATCTATACATACCTCTTTGTATACATATGACGTATTTCCTCCCATGCTCGTATACACATTTGTTGGTTTACGTATCACATATGTTCTGTTTCTCACCACCTATAGGAAAACGGGCGAACTAAACATAAAGAAAAATTCTTCCCCCTTTTTATAAACTTTCTTAAAAGATCCCGCCAAGTAATGAACTGACCCGTCGCCATGACAGCAATAATATATTGATTCCTCTTATGAAAAATTATATATATTTTGAACGTCACAGTGAAAATTAGGGATGAAAAAAATCGAAATAATTTGTAACTTGAATAAATGCATCTGTTTATAAGCTGTCTACAATCAAATATCATTTCTAACGGTACCAGGAAGTAATTTGGGAGTTAATAATTTATTAGGTGTTTATTGTATATAAATATGTTATTTGCATACTTTATGAGAATCGGAAGTTAATAAGGATAATTATGATTAATGTTCGATAATAACAACATTACTGTATTATAATAA